TAATATCTACATTTCTTTTCACATCTGAGACTGCTTGAGTAATCACTTTTTTTATGGTATTAATTCACAAACTGGTGAAGCTCTTGTGAAGCTCTCCCATAGTATACTATGTGACTGCGGTTGCTTAACAGTTCATTGCGCTATCATTCCTTGACTAGTTAAACATTCCGTTTTATAGTTGAAATAGGATTGTTACTATACTTATTTTCACTTATTATAAAAATATGGTAATTGTCCTGGTATAGGTAGAAAAATTATGATAGAATCACCATGCAATTTACTCAACCTACACTATTGAAATAATACAGTACTTTAGTGATTATTTTTCATCATGAAACAGCAGGCCTCTACATAGGTCCACATATAACCTTGTCTGTGGTGGTGTGAAATATAGGTCTTGAATTTTATGTTGGATTTTATTCTTCCATATGTCCAGCCCAGCCTTCTAATAAAATACACCTTGAACAACTTTCAGATTCTTGAAAAACAGATTATTTGGAAAGAAATTTGGTTTTCTCAATTATCCGAATTGTAGGATTTTTATAAATTGAGTGGCGTCCAAGAAAATTTTCTTCACCATCTAGCCTATAATTCGAACTCTATCTGTTCTCCGATGTACAGCTGCCGATAGCAAATGTGTTCAATTTTTTAATACTTTCATCCTTTTAAATTGAAAGTTGGCCACAGATTGCTGGGTCAATCGTCAGGTTTGACCTCAAGGCTCATCTGCTCATTCATCGACTAAACTAGGGCCCTAATCTCTGAATTGGGCTTCCTCCTCCTGGAGTATGACGGGGCTCTGCCCGAAGCGAAGTCCTTCCAGGAGTCAAAGTCGTCGACCCGTATCTCCATTCGTTCATAGAACTGGAGGGATTCCTTTTCTTCAAGAGTGTCGGAAACCCTCTTAAAGAGGTTGTCATTCATGCACTGCGGAATCTGTTCAAAAGTGATTTCTGGGTTTCTCCTGATTGGCGCTACTCGGCTCAGCAGGATTACTTCCAAATATTGAGCTGGTTTGTTTGTCTCTTCTGACATATTATCTGTCCCAGCCTGGCGGGTGGGGGTCTCTGCCACGGTCGGACCTACTCGATCCAGCCCTTTCTTTGGAAGAGATTCCCCACCCTGCTAGGCTTCATCTGGCGGGTTTTCCTCATCAAGAATTGCTCTTCTTTGGAATTAGGTTGAAACTTATGCTATTTGTATATTATTTCGTATTTTAGTTTATCACTTAATTTTAGGTTAGTACGGTTGCGATGAGCTTATTATTGAAACTCAAATGTATCTTACACAATAAATAAGCACGAGAACTGTTTTTCAAAAATCTTCATGAAAATGAGCACTAAGGACTACAGATTGAGATATAAATTATGACTAGACTATTATCAAAGCGTGGCTGTGTATGTTGCCATCGCCACAGCTTTCATTTCATTTTATTTCATTCTCATTTCATAATCAGTACGCGACACTTCGCTATAGATCTAGACTGCCTGGCGGTCAACACTCCGCTCGCGCACGTACACGCGGCAAAGACAGCACGACCGTGCTGTCCTTGTCTTACCCTCGCGCTCCGGCGCAATGTTCTCAGAACATTAAAAATATTTCCATTCTTGTGCTCGAAGAGATGAAAGATAGTGATTTTCTGAACGTAGATATCGTGTTTATGTCCAAATTGAGAAGACGAACATTGAGTAGACCTTTTCATTGCTGATTATTTAACGTTTTAATGTTTCGACAAGAACATTCTACTACATGCAAAACCATAGATTTTCACGAAGAATGTTCAGATCATTAGCTAGAAAAAAAATTCCAGTTATGCTGGACCATTCGAAGCAGACTGCAGGTTGACCTAATGATTGTTCCAACACTCATATTTCCAATTTGTTCATCCCAGGTGGCAAGGTGATATGCTCCTTCGGCATTAACAGCATTTTGTTACATTTTCTCACAACCCTGCATGCCGACAAGATTTCGGAAAGCTTACTCCAGAACGGAACCTTCTTCACACTTTGCCTCCAGGGAATGGTGAGGGGGTCGATGGTGATGAATTTCCATGGGTCCTTCCTCAGATGTGTCCACTGGAAACAAGAGTTCTATTCACATCTTGAATAAAACATCTACAGAGGGCACAATTACAACTAGATATTCATTTTCTGTGTTTTGCGACTTCATGAGCGTTTCATTTATGAACATCAAAAATTCAGAAAAAGTGATACCTTCTCAGGAAATATGCCTATTTCGACAAATCTTCTCTGAGAGAGTCATTCTACGTTTGATGTAGTTGATTTTTTTATGAGACACTCACCTTAATGATGAGTCTCTCATCAATGAAGTGGTGCAGTTTTATCTTCTGGATATCTTCAATTCGAGCATGATTTAGCCTCCAAGTCATATGACTAGGAAACAGCTTCGCGGATAATAGTACTCTCCATACCGCCTCCTCTCCCAGGGCTGCAATACCAGCCAGGCGAATCAGAAACGAATGGGGAAGAAATGTTCACAACAGAAATATGGACTTTGCAACAATTCTCGAATGGGAATCCAATAACTTGGTAGATTTCAATGCAAACAAAACACAATCATGCCTTTTCTCTAGCAAAGCCGATCTCACTGTGCCCAACATAAGCTTGTCAGGAGTAACCATACCTTTGAAGACATCCATTTTGATGCTTGGTATCACTATCAGCAATAACCTTCCTTGGGAAAATCACGTGAGATCAATAGCTAGAAGTGCATCTCAAAAACTCGGATTTCTGTTTCGAGCCAGGATCTATTCCACTTTCAGGCAGCTGCTTATGATCTATAAAGCACAGACCTAACCTGTCCCGGAATACTGTTTCTGTATTTGGAGTGCAGCACTCAAACATACCCTGAAACTGTTGGATTCTGTCCAAAAAAAGAGCAATTCGTCTCGTGGGTGATGCCGTGCTCACAAACTCACTCACTCCACTGGAACATCGTAGAAAAGTTGGCGATCTGCCTCTTTATATTTCATAGATACTTAAATGGACGATGCTCTTCTGAAATATCAACAATTGTGCCTTCCTTGGAAGTCCAACTAGGTATAAGTATATCCATATGAGCCTATTTTGTCATATCAAAATTTTGTTACATGAATTTGTTCCATTGTTATAACTATGGTTCTGCGAAAAGTAAATCACTATATAAATTGAAGTGGGTGTTTATACCCTATTTCTATTTTCTATCTACGACAATGATTGATTTGACAGAAAATATAACTTCTAAAATCGTATCTGACAATCTGGCGCTACCACGGGAATAGAGAAGACGAAGAGCAGAATAAATGTCTCATTCTTTTATTCACTCAAACCATTGTAATAGAGAAAACAGAAAAGGACAGAAGTTCAGCTGTGTCCGAACTCTTATCTGACTAATACCATCCAGTGACTCTACTGCATACTAGAGTCTCGAGATCATACCCGTGTGTTCACCGAACACGCCCGATCGTTCCCTAAGCGGTGGGGAAGGGGAAACGTAAACGGGCAGCAGTAACTACGTTATGAATATTGGCGCGTGCCTGAATTATTTTGGAGTCAAATTTGTCAATTTCATTGTTTAATGTACTTATTCCAAAACGGAACACTAGTAGTTGTGCCTTCTTGTTTTACATATATTATAGGTAGACATCAAATCAATAAACAATGTGCTCTTGCCATCGGTATTTGCTGAACTTCGCTATGGGAAAATGTTGAATAACTATATTGGGATGAAGAATGATCTATACAGGGTGTATCTAAATAACACCGAAATAATTCAAGGGATGATTTCTTGTGATATAATATGATGAATAAAGGTCATATAAACATGTGTCCTAAACTTGCTTCTTTTTCGAGGTACAGGGGGACGTCCTGATTTCGAATCCGAAGTGATTTTCAACCTATCTTGCCTCCTAATATAATTTTCCGGAAATGTTGGTGGGTCCATGACCAGAGCAGTCTTTATCACTGAAGATTACCTCACTTTGGTCATAGTTGGTATATATATCTATCGCTCCTTGAAATTGAACAGTTACGTTAGGTATACGGGTTGATATTCCATTATAGAAGTGACATGCACACTGTTTATATTTTTAAATACATCCAGTGGGATTGAATTTTATTTTATGTTGAATATTAGAGTGTGTTTTTTTATGTAATATATTTGTTTTGTTTATTTCAAATATATATATTTCTTTAGTAGGCATACTAGTACTTCTTTTTTATAATTCTGAAATCTGATCCACCCTGTATTTGTTTCAATTAAATGGCATCAGTAGATAGTAAATAGAATGTTAGGATAAGGACACATGTAAGCCATTTTGACAAATCAATATAGGTATTGTATAGTTTCGATACAAAAATAAATCTCGATTTTTTCACATTCTACGTATATACCTTGAGCTTGATCAACGAAATCATATCTCAATTAGAAGAATCGAAAAATGTTATAAAATATAAGGTGTCCCATTTTGAATAACAAAGCTGCTACTACTATACTACTAAGTACTACATAACTAATAATAATTTCTAGTGAAGCAGATGAACATTATCGAAAATAATTTGAATTAAACGAGCGTCCTCGCCAACAAAACATAAGCATATAATATGTACATATAGTTTCATGATTTTTGATGAGTGGTTCGCTATTTACATGTAGAACTCGTCGTGACATAGCGAATTATTGCAAACCAAATCATCGCTTGCATTATCTGATAGGTCGCAGTAGATCACTTGATTCCTATCAAATGTTTCTTATTTATTCGAAAAAAAAAAAATGTTGAAATGTGATCAAGAAAACTGTTGGTGGCCCACCCCGTACTACAAAAACAAAGACAGCTTGAGAGAAGCTGCCTGCCCACTCATTGTATCATGACTGCCTGCTTACGTCTCGGTCTCCCCACCGCTTAGGTAACGATCGAGCGTGTTCGGTGAACACACGGGTATGATCTCGAGACTTTTGTCTACTGCATGCGTTGCCGAATATAATCCTAACCACAATTCCAGGTGAGCGGCCTCCGCTTCGAGACGCAGCTGCGCACGCTCAACCAGTTCCCCGACACGCTGCTCGGCGACCCGGCGCGCCGCATCCGCTACTTCGACCCGCTGCGCAATGAGTACTTCTTCGACAGGAACCGCCCCTCCTTCGACGCCATCCTCTACTACTACCAGAGCGGCGGGCGACTGCGCAGGCCCGTCAACGTGCCGTTGGACGTTTTCAGCGAGGAGATCAAGTTCTACGAGCTGGGGGAGATGGCGATCAACAAGTTCCGGGAGGTGGGTACTCACTATTAGATTAGATTAGATTTGGAATGAAGCCATCGGGCTATCTGCCTCCATACTGCGATCTTTTCAGATCTTTTTTTTTGCCCTCAAAATTGATTAGAGTTCTTCGGATAGCCCCGCCTTCTCTATGAGACTCCATAGGCTAGCTTTCAGATCTCCTGTGTATCTCTGGGCTTCTGGTTTTTCCTCACCCAGCGTAAGGAACCTTAGTCTTGACAAGCCCTCACAGTGGCAAAGTATGTGTACTGCTGTTTCCTCCTCTTCCTGACAGAACCTGCACAGCAGTTCTTCAGTCAGACCTATCCTACTCATGTGTTTGTTGAGCCTATAATGCCCTGTGAGAAGTCCCACTAGTATTCTAGTTGAACTTCGTTTCTGGCTTAGTAGATATTCTGTGAATGTTGGTGATGGTTTTTTCATAAACTCTTCTGCCTGTCTCATTCTTGGCGAGTTGTTCCACCATTCTTGAGATTTGATTTGCATCCATGATTTGATACTAGTCTTTTGTATAGCTATATACCTACAGAAGGGTTCTGGGCCATTAAGAGCTTTGTTTGCTCCTGCTCGGGCAAGTGAGTCTGAATCTTCATTGCCCTCGTACCCTGTATGTGCTGGTACTCATGCTAGAGTCAATCTGTTCTGACTGCCCAGTGCATTTAGGGTTTCTAAGCAGTCCCATACTAGTTTTGATTCAACTTGCATACAGTTGACTGCTTTGATTGCCGCCTGGCTATCTGAGTAGATTGCAATGGTTTTGCCTTCAAACTCTTTCCTTATCAATTATTTCACGCAATGATGAATTGCAATAATAATTTCTGCCTTAAACACCGTCGCGTAATTGCCTAAGCTCAGTGAGATTCTCGTCTTTGGCTTGGCCCCATAAATACCAGCTCCTGATCCTTCCTCAGTTTTGGAGCCGTCCGTATAGACAGCAATGTCTGCATTGATAAGTTTTTTCAAAGCTATATTTTGGAATTATGCCACCATGGTGAAAATATACAAGAAATGAAAGATACTACATAATTCATCTATTTAATCTGATAACACGATGCCATCCAATTCCTTATTTTATTTCATTTCATTTAGCAAATATATCTTCCAGTCAGAACCACACCTTTTCCAATTGTTATTCGGAAAGTGTGACTTGTAATTCAGAATAGTTAATTGTTATTCAGAAAGCGTCAATTGTAATTCGAATAAGTCAATTGTAATTCATAAAGCTCAATTTGTAATTCAGAAAGTATCACATGTAATTCATAAATACTATGGACTCAAATAGGGAAAGGAAATAGAAATTAATGAATGGTTTATTGTGTGGTGAACATCAATATTTTATATTTATCAACCAACGGGCATATATCTTGAATTGCCAGAGCTGAAGCTAGGTGAATGGTGGTGTGTTGTGCAGCCCTAGCACAATTACCTTCAACATTTGTATCTTTGGCCTGGTCAATGTTCTGTTCAAGATAAACAAGTCGTTGTTTTCCAACACCCGGACCTTCAACTTGTGGTACTCGAAGATTCACTTTCATATGACACTTCATTTTGGACCATATTGTTTCAATTGGGTTCGAAATTGGAGAATATGGAGCTGAACGAAGAAGCCTTGCCTCAGTTCCGCCCAGAACGTTTCCAAATCTGGATTGACAAGGTGCATTATCGCACACAAGGACAAATGCCTGTGAAATTCTTTTCAATTGCAATTTATTTAATATTTTGTAGTTACTTTCTATGACTACATGTCTTTGATTGTTGATACCTTGATTCACGTTGGAGTCTCAAGGAGAATGGATGCGAACGAGTTGTTCCTAGTTTCTGAATCATAAGTGATACTTTCTGAATTACAAGTTATGCTTTCTGAATAACAGTTGACGGTATTTTAATTACATTTCACTATTCTGAATTACAAGTTACACTCTCTGAATTACATATCACTAATCTGAATTACATATTATGTATATTTTATAACTCACTTTGTCAATAAGAATCTTCTTGGACAATAAAGTATAACAGGGTGATTCAAAAGTAAGCGGCATCCTTTCAGAGGCGTATTCCTTGCATGAAAATAAGGCAAAAAGTTCCTATTGATAAGGATCCGAAAATGCTTCCTAAGGGAGCTACGGCCCTTTGAATAGGACACCTCAAAGACGGTTTTTTCTCTATAACTTTAAAATCCTTCACAACAAATTTTTAAAAATTGGTGTACGGCATAAACATTCGATGGTAAATAGGACTCCGTATTCGAAATAATTTCCAAACGAAATCACAGTAACCTGAATATCCGGAGAAGAAGGGATATTTTTACACTTACCCTCTCCCGCATGTGACGCCCCTGAATGAAATTCTGAAATTTCGAATACGGAGTCCTATTTACCATCGAATGTTTATGCCGTACACCAATTTTAAAAAATTTGTTGTGAAGGATTTTAAAGTTATAGAGAAAAAACCGTCTTTGAGGTGTCCTATTCAAAGGGCCGTAGCTCCCTTAGGAAGCATTTTCGGATCCTTATCAATAGGAACTTTTTGCCTTATTTTCAAGCAAGGAATACGCCTCTGAAAGGATGCCGCTTACTTTTGAATCACCCTGTATAGCTAATCAGTACGCTTTCTGAATTACAATCAACTAATCTGAATTTCAAATTATACTCTCTGAATTACAATCAACTATTCTGGATTACAACCTAAACTTTCTGAATTACATCTTGTACTTTCTGAATTACAATTGAAGAAGGTGTAGTTCTGGTATGAGGAAGAACGTAATTATTATGAAATAACAAGTGATACATAATATCTATGAACTACTCAAACATGAGCAGCAGTGAACATGAATAATAAATCAGGATATCACAATAAATCACAATGAAACTAAACGAACAGAGAAAAGTATTCTAGGCAAGGACATAACTTACTGATACATTTTTCTCAGAAATGATCAGTTTTTTCTTTTTCACTTTCTGATGTACCTGTATTTCTGCAGTTTTTGATTTCATCTGGTAGATTATTGAACTCAGATAAGGCTGCATGAGTGAATCTTTTTTGCCCGAGCGTAGAACTAGCAGCATCAAGGTGAAATGAGTTATATCGTCTAGTTTGATGACTATGAATTTCAAAATTTCGTGTCAAAATAATATAAAATTTCAATTTTTCATTTATTATATTATATCCAATCTGTACAGTTATTCTAAAGGATATGTTTCTGTTAAGGCATACAGTTCAGTTGTTGGTGTATCATATGAAAGACGATACAGTACTTTTGATGATTTCCTATATGATGTTGATATTTTATTAAAATTATTCTCATAACAAGATCCCCAAACATTCATTCAATTGTTAATTCGACTTAGTATTTGTGACTATATTTGCGATCTTTATATTGAGTTTGGGGCATCTTCTCAAGGCCCCAATAAAAGGAGATATTTCCTTCGTCAGAGCCTCAATATGTTTGTTCCACCTAAATTGAATGCTTCATCTGTTCAGTTTGTTTCAAGAATTCATTCTTCATTTGAAGATTGAGCTGAATTTTCTGTTTATTTCCTTGTTGAAAAATCATGTTTTCAGTTTTTCTGGTATTTATTGATAGAAGGTTATAGTGGAGCCATTTTTCGAACAATTTCAGATTGTTATTTATCGAAGTTTCTAGAATCGGAGGATTTTTTTTCTCATATAAAAGAACTGTATCTTCTGCATATATATGGTTTAATTACTCGCTAAACCAACTTTCGTGATATTTTGAATATAAAGCAGATACAGTATTTGTCCTAAAACAATAGATGTCGCTTCTCGCGAACATTCACCACTCTTTTGAAAATTTTTCATTGGCCGCCTCATTTTAGAAATACAGGGTAAAATTGAAAATGTTGGATTTTGGGAATTCTGTATTTTTGCTATCTTTCATTTTATAGGAAGAGTGAGAACTGTCCCGTAAACAGTTTTTTACATGGAATCAAGTGGTTTTGTCAAATTTCAAAATCAGCTGATATTATTCAGGTATATGTAACCGATAGTTAGGTTCTTTAAAAGAAACACCCTGTATATTTTTCGTAATTGAAATATTGATGCTGCGCTCTTTTCAAAAGTGTATGATACTATAAAATTGTTCTGAATTTGTTTGTTCTGAAATTGTTCTATCCGTCATTCGGTTGCCCCCTTAAGAGCAACCCTCAGAAGTCTTCGAGAGACTTGTGCGAGCAAGACATGACGGGGGCCTTACCTTCAAACGTGTGATCCCAAACACTTCTTATACAAAATTTTGAGTATTGGCCTTGAATTTAGATAATTTGAATTTTTCAAATATATTTCTTATTGATCCGCCCTGTAAATGTGTAGCACTATTCTTAATTTCATGAATTTTTATATGATTCCTGTTGCTGACAGGGTGTCAAGTCACTCACATGTTTGAATTTCACCAACATTATTCATCATCTATCAATATACATAGGCTATATTCCGAATTCAACTGGTCAGTACTGTCAGTTGATCCACTGACTCTGCTGAAAATCTGTGTTCCGAAATATAAAATCAAAAATTCACTACTGTAATTCGGGACACGTTTTCATGGTTTTCATCAGTAGTTGTTTTTTGTTCATCTTAACTAGATGTTTAGCCTCCTACTTGTTATAAATTTTGGAAATTTAATATTTAACATGGAAGAGAAATCGATTCTTGTATCCTCTATAGTTTCTAACGATTGTTGACGATGGCGATTCAAGCTCGAGTGATGAAGAATACTTGGACATTTTGTTGCCATAAATTTCTCATGATGAACCAGATTGAGAATTGAGATTCATGAAAATCGCAATATGCCTTAATAATGATGAATTTTAGGAGACATTCCAGGTTTATTTAAGTTTATTTAGCCAATGCTGCTCCTTTCCTTACCTGCTCTACTACTTTATACTCCAGGTATTTTCTGATATTGAGAATCATTTCATTAACAACGGAAATGAATGTTACATTCCTTTCCCCTCCAAAATATGACAGTTCACTGAAGCCACACTACCTTTTGATACTCAGCAATTCCAGCAGAATGTTGAGTCGAAATATTTGGAATGAATAGTATGTTTGCTGACAAGCATCTGTCACTTTCAGTGAATTTTTTGATTTCGGAATGGAAAATCAGCAGATTCAGTACTGTCAGTTGAATTCGGAATATAGCCATAGTAGGTAGCTATGGAAAAAAAGCGATTGCAGAATGTTTTATAATTATTCTCGCAACCAGTTTACAAAATCAAAACTACACGAGAATTCAGAAACCAACTCATATCCTAACCATAATATATAATCTCCCGCAGTTTTGATATCCTGGATCATTATTCGCCATTGTATAGAGAATTTGTAAACTCTGACAGGTAGTGAAGTGGCAACATTTATAAAACATTCTGCCCACGCTTTCCTCATTGCCACCCACTGATTAGGTCCACAGCTACTATAGTTTTATTTTATGTTCTGGTTCCCACGAAAAGGGATATCCTGTAATGTTCAGAGAACATCGTGAGAACCAAGAAAAATGAAGTAGTAATTGGTGTTCTTCATGAAATTCTGGAGGTTATATGCCTTGGGGAACACCTTCCTTGGCAATGTGTTCCAGAGCCTCGCTGTGCGTTGGATGAGCGACTCTTTGGAAAGAGATATTCTGCAGGTCTCCAAAGTGACCGCGAAGGGGTGTGGAGCCTCAACTCGATGGGTCAATCTCGCGGAGACTGCCAAGGGAGGAACAATTGTTGATATTTCAGAAGAGCATCGTGCATGAAAATATCTATTAAATAGAGTCAGATCGCCAAATTTCCTACGACGTTCCAGAGAAGTGAGTGAGTTTGTGAGCGAGGCATCAACCACGAGACGAATTGCCCCATTTTTGTACAGAATCCAACAGTTTCAGGGAATGTTTGGGTGCTGCACTCCAAATAAGGGAACAGTATTCCAGAACAGGTCGGATCTGTGCCTTATAGATCATAAGCAGCTGACTGGAAGTGAAATAGATCCTGGCCCCAAACAAAAACCAAGTTTTTGGGATGCACTTTTAGCAATTGATCTCACGTGATTTTCCCAAGAAAGGTTATTACTGATAGTAATCCTCAGCATCCAAAATGGATGTCTTCAAAGGTATGGTTACTTCTGACAAGCTTATGTGGGACACAGTGAGATCGTCTTTTCTAGAGAGAAGGCATGCTTGTGTTTTGCTGGCAATGAAATCTACCAAGTTATTGGACCCCACTCGAGAATTGTTGCCAAGTCCATGTTTATTATGTCAACATTCCTCCCTTGTTTGTTTCTGATATGCCTGGCTGGAATTGGAGCCCTAGAAGAGATGACGGTATGGAGAATACTATCATAAGTGAAGCTGTGTACTGAATATTGTTAAAATTTTAATTTGTGTGTAACGAAACATTCTGTCAGCAACAGGTTGAATATAAAAATTCATGATATTGAAATTTCGAAAATATTGCCACACTTTTACTCTACAACGAATCAATAGGGGATATAGTTAAAAATTGTGAATGATCTAAATTTAATACTGATACTCAAAATATTGTTTGCATGTAATTTATTCTGCGAAAGCGCAAAGCATCAATGTTTCAAATATGAAAAATTAAACATAGTGTTCCCTTTGAAACACAAAACTCTGGATGATATCTAGATGATGAAAGCTTATTTCGAACATGATAAAACTCTGTTCATAACAATATTATCTTCATGAGAACTGTAGTTTTCTAGAAGCAGATGATTGAATAGATCTGCTCACGATTCCGTAGGACGAGGGCTTCATCAAAGAGGAGGAGAAACCCCTGCCCACCCCCGAGTTCCAGCGCAACGTGTGGCTGCTGTTCGAGTACCCGGAAAGCTCGCAGGCGGCCCGCGTCGTCGCCATCATCTCCGTCTTCGTCATCCTGCTCTCCATCGTGATATTCTGCCTGGAGACGCTGCCCGAGTTCAAGCACTACAAGGTGTTCAACACGACGACGAACGGCACCAAAATCGAAGAGGACGAGGTGAGTTTATACTTATATTATGTGGTTCGTCACCGCGATTCAGAAATCATCCCGTTCAAGGACGAATACCATATTGAGGAGAGCTGGAACGCTAGGAGTTTTCTCCACACTGTTTTTCAATCGCTTGATGCGTGGTAACGAAAAGAAATACGAAAGTTATCGTTTCTGGAAGCAGATTACAGGTGATCATTTCTCAATTGGTTTTAAAAAGAATATCAATCATCGATCGCTTGATTCAGGAGAATGCTCCAATTCAAAATTCCTACTAGAATGGGCTAGGAAGAGAATTAGCATTGCATACTACCCACCAAAGACCATATACGTATTAATATACAATACGGATCATAACGGGTGCCAGGATGAAGCCAAAAATATGAAACAAATGAATATCCATAAGGATTTTGTGGCATGATACGCATGCGCCATGCGCTATTATGGTAGTCATCAAAGACGTTTCGGTGGACAATAGCGTTTACTAGCTTTTCAATCAAAGCAGTATGTGTCTGATCGTTTCAAAACTTTTCCTTATGGATAGTCATTTGTCTTAAAAAATCGGCTTCATGTTTCGCTATGGAAACAGATAGAGATTATCCGTATTGATTATCAATACGTATATGCCAAAGACATCATAGGTATACAAAAAGCTCAAAGATGAATGAATTCATAGGTGCCGGGGTTTATGGCCTGCCTTCAAGGATATTGAAATAAAACTTTGACCATAAAACGGCAAAGCTTCAGAGTACGTTGGCGATGGAAGTATTCCTAAATACTTATGAACTCCAGAAGTTCAAAAGCACCAACCTCCTCTCCCTATCCTCCCTATAGGTACGCACGATGTTCTCCAAACATTCTAGGAATCTTCTTTTGTGCGCTCCAAGAGATGAAGAAACTGACTTCGTATAGAGTGACTACCTTCTTGGTGTCTGAGTACATAAACCGCCTGCAAAAGTTTGAAGGTGACGAATGAGGTATGTTTTATATGAGGCCTTGAGCACTCACGGTTACCTGACAATAAAATAGCTGATGGTCTGACCAGCAAGGGGACGAAGAGCTAAGTGGTTGGCCTAGAGCAAATCTTAGGAATTACTCGATTTTGAAGCACTCAAATATGATGAGAATCTTGATGAGAGGATTTCAGACTTCGGGATGCCGGCAGTCCAGACTCTACCTGGGATATTCGTCACGAAGTCAGACAAACTAGTGATGGGACTTCTGGAAGTGCACTTTCACTTCAACATGCATCATGATACGATCGGAATGTAGACGAGTCTCAGGAGATGAATATCTTTCCAGTCACATCCTTACTGTATGACCAACAATAGTGCAGCAAGTTATGCAAGCAAGTATGCATCTTGGAGGTGGCATTCTGAACCCAGAGGATGTAGAAAAGATTCGACCTAAGAAGATGGTGTCTTTCTCTATCGAAATTTGCATTCTCCATAGCTGACGAACTTAGTAATTTTGGGTGCACAATGGACTCGGAGAGGTGTCTGAGTGCGTCAGGTCTCAGACCGTCCACATAAAAACACATCACCTTCAAATTATCCATATTCTCGATGCTCATGTCATCCTGAAAATTCAATTTCCAGGTTCCCTACATCATCGACCCTTTTCTCTCTTATCAAGAACATCTGCATCATCTGGTACACGTTCAAGCTGTGGGTGCGCTTCCTTGCATGCCCCAATAAGCTGCTTTTCTTCCACGATGTCATGAACTTCATCGACATCATCGCCGTCATCCCCTTCTTCATCTGGCCACTTATTGTTAGTCATGGTCGTTGAACGTTACCGTCAGATCATAAAAAATAACTATGGAAGACCAGATCAAATCATGTCACAAGATCGAGCAGCTATTGAAGCCTAGAGCTCCATGGGTATTTCCTCTCTTATGGTATGGGATATTTGGAGAAAAATGAACGAGCTAGCCAACAAGAGTATCCTTCTATGGGTTCCGGGACATTCCGTAGAGGAGGAAAATGAAGTAGCGACCAGAACATTCCTGCAGGATGAGCAGCAGTATCCATAAAGAAGAAATTGAGAAGTAAAATCTCGAACAGGTATCAAACATCTTCATGGTTCCACACAGATCCAAATACTACTGTGTACACAACACTACAAAATATCAAACGCATATGTCTGGTCAACAAAATGAACATCGTATACTGGAGGGATTTCTCACAGGACACTGTCGATTGAAAGAACATCTAATGAAACTCATCTCACAAGAGAAAAAGGGATGCGAGTTCTGTGGGGAGTAGGAGAAAACTCATGATCACATACTCGCAGAATTCAAGGCCTAAAATCCTAGGAGCACCACTTGATAGAGTAGAAAAAGCTACCCAACCTGCTGGTACAGTGAAAGAAGGGAGGTTAATAAAACTTCAAAGTGGCAGTGTATGCAACCCTTATGTATACAATTCAATTGATCGGAAAGAAAAGTAGGTTCAAGCAGAATGACTCATGTTTCAACATTTAACAAAAAAGGGGCACAACAAAGCTGTTGGTTCGCAATATTTTCACCCTGAACGCATATCATTTGTATAAATATTATCATAATATGTAATATCACGAGTGATACTAAATATTTTGCCAATATTGTTACTATAGCATGTTGCTTGATAATCTCGCGAATGCAATTATTGTTTATCCAAACTTCCGAGGTTTGGAACAACGTCATAAGCGGAATGAATGCAGCAAGCTGTAGTATGTGAGGAAGAATAGTATCACGAGTTGTTTTCGTATGACTATTTCATGATTGGGGCCTCACAGGAATTGTGCACGATGCATCTATTATTTTGGCTCCAAACATAATCGACGTTTCAAATGTATGGAAAGTCAATCGCGGAAAAACGAGGTTGGTTGCGGTCACGTGTTAGTCAATTTGGCATCTGTATTGGTGAAGCAGGTCCGATGATTTTTGGTGAACAGAAGATATCGCTGTAACACAGAAGGAACCGTGAAAATGGTCGATATCTGTTGTTTTTCAGGTTCCCGACATCACCGACCCGTTCTTCCTCATCGAGACCATCTGCATCGTCTGGTTCACGTTCGAGCTGTCGGTGCGCTTCCTCGCCTGCCCCAACAAGCTGCACTTCTTCCGCGACGTCATGAACTTCATCGACATCATCGCCATCATCCCCTACTTCATCACACTGGCCACGGTGGTGGCGGAGGAGGAGGATACGCTCAACCTGCCGCGGGCGCCCGTCAGTCCGCAGGACAAGAGCACCAATCAGGCCATGTCGCTGGCCATCCTGCGGGTCATACGGCTGGTGCGAGTCTTCCGTATCTTCAAGCTGAGCAGGCACAGCAAAGGGCTGCAGATACTGGGGCGGACGCTCAAGGCCAGCATGCGAGAGCTGGGCTTGCTCATATTCTTCTTGTTCATAGGTCAGTATAATTCGTCGAAGAAACTCGAATCACCTGTGATTATCATAGAAATAACATTTTTGGAACATTCAGAGCCTCACTACCTTATTAATATTGTATGAATAAATTGTTTTCACATCTTCTGGGATTCAGGAGATACTTTCACGTCATAGTCTCATAGTAAAGTCCATCTTTTCGTCAGAAGTCTAGGCTTGCCATAAAATGTATCCTTTCTTGATACTGAGATATTGAAATGAGTCGCGAAACGACGTGACCTTGAATGGTTTTAGTCCACAATCTATCCAGCGAAGCAGTGATTGAAATCTGTCAGGGAATATGTGTTATGAGCGCCAATCAAGGTTAACTATTTACAAAAATATCAAATGTCTTGTCGCTGGCCATCCTGCGAGTCATACGTCTGGTACGAGTCTTCCGTATCTTCAAGCTGAGCAGGCACAGCAAAGGGCTGCAAATACTGGGGCGGACGCTCAAGGCCAGCATGCGAGAGCTGGGCTTGCTCATGTTCTTTCTGTTCATAGGTCAGTATTGTTTGTCGACGAATCTTGACTCACCTGTGATTCTCATGGAAGTAACATTTACGAATTATTTAGAGACTCACTTCCTCATAAATATTGAATACATACATTATTTTCACATCTTCTGGGATTCAGGAGATGGTATTACGTCATAGTCTCATAGTAAAGTCCGTCTTTGCGTCAGAAGTCTGGGCTTGCCATGGAATGTATCCTCTCTTGATACTACTATATTGAAACGAGTCGTGAAACGTAGTGCCATTGATCGGTTTCTGTTCTCAATCTATCCAGCGAAGCAGTGAATGGAAACTTCCAGGGAATATGTGTCATGCGCCAATTGAAATTATCTATTCACAAAAATTCATAATGCGATTATTGTCACATTCTCTGGGATTCGGAAGATGATATCACGTCTTAGTCTCATATTAAAGTCCGTCTTCTCGTCAGAAGTGTGGGCTTGTCATGAAATGTATCCTCTCTTGATACTGGGATATTGAAATGATTCGCGAAACGACGTGACCTTGATCGGTTTTAGTTCTCAATTCATCCAGCGAAGCAAGCATTGAGAACTTTCATGAAATATGTGTTATGAGCGCCAATCGAAGTATCCTATTCACAAAAATATCAAATGTCATGTCACTGGCCATCCTTTGAGTCATACGGCTGGTTCGAGTCTCCCGTATCTTCAAGCTGAGCAGGCACAGCAAAGGGCTGCAGATACTGGGGCGGACGCTCAAGGCCATCATGCGAGAGCTGGGCTTGCTCATATTCTTCTTGTTCATAGGTCAGTATTGTTCGTCGACGAATCTCGCTTCACCTGTGACTTTCATAAAGATAACATTTCTGGAACATTTAGAGCCTCAATTTCTTTTAAATATCGAATAAATAAACTATTTTCACATCTTCTGGGATTCAGGAGATAATGTTAGGTCATAGTCTCATAGTGAAGTCCGTCTTTTCCTCAGAAGTCTGGGCTTGCCATGAATGTATTCTCTCTTGATACTAGGATATTGAAATGAGTCGTGAAACGACTTCACATTGATCGATTTCAGTTCTTGATCTATCCAGCGAAGCAGTGAATAGGAAATTTCAGGCAATATGTGTCATGAGCGCCGATCGAGGTTTTCTATTCACAAAAACTTTCGAATGCCATGTCGCTGGCCATCCTCCGGGTCATACGGCTGGTGCGGGTCTTTCGTATCTTCAAGCTGAGCAGGCACAGCAAGGGGCTGCAGCACAGATCAACAAAAGGTTTGTCAATCTGTGGCTGCATATACTGGAACGGACGCTCAATGCCCATGCGAGAGTTGGACTTCTTGTTCTTGATATCCCGAATTCGCTCATAATGCGATTATACTTCCGAAATAATTCTTGATCATAATCTTCAGGCAATCAAAATATGGATAAGGTGGAAGTGAGAATGACAGGAATCATGTTGTTTCTACTTTTCATGGGTTATTCTCTCCGAGTGGATATAGTACCTTCCTCACAATTAACTATTTTCATTCCTCCAGTAAACATTGAAGCCCAATCCCATCTGATTAATTGATTGATTGGGTATGCTCCTGAACTTCTTGTTTATGGGCCAGTATCATCAATCGAAGGATCTGGCCTAACCTGTCACTTTAATGTCGTACAAGGCAAAAATATTCCACCTTGAACATGGGAGCCCGATTCCAATCCCATCTGATTGATTGCAATTACAGACAATGCAGATGATCGAGAATTTTTATCATTGTGGAAGGAAGAGAACTTACAAACTTGCATAGCAGATAATATGTTATAGTCTCATAGTAAAGTCCGTCTTTTCGTCAGAAGTCTAGGCTTGCCATGCAATGTATCCTTTCTCTCTTTTGATACTGATTCAACTACAAAAACAACTTCTCGACCATGATCTTCAGCCAATTCTAGTATCGATTAAGTGAACGTCAAGATGACTGAAATCATAGTTTTTTCAAATTTCGGTGAGCTGGTTTCTTTTTCTCTTAGTGTTTAGTTTCCATCCTCAAACTTGATTTGGAATAACATTGAATATCTGCGAATGAACGGAAATTTGCGAAGATCATTAGGGAATTCTGATGTGTGAAAAGGGTACCATACACCTGATCAAACTAAGTCAGTATGTACACACCAAACCAAACTACTCATATCTACTTCTTGCTGAATATTCGAGAATTCGCAAAAAAGAGGTCATTTTGCATGCTTCCAAAGGTCATCTATATTTCGTCGCTTTTCTCCCACGTTTTGCGTTATTCAACGTTTTCGGTATCCGTGATAAGTATTTGCGTTACACCTTTTACAAACAGTTGTTCTCACGTTACAGATCTAGTCCCCAAAAGCACACAACGTCCTAGGGACGTCCCTATTTGGTACAATTCACGTTCGAATGTCCCGAATCAAAAATACGTGTCCTTGGGACGTCCCATCCCGTACATCTTATGCAATGTCCGAGCAAGGACGTCCATGGAATGTCCCAGCTGGTACATCATTCCAAATGTCCTAGAAATAGCATCCTTTAGACGTCCCACGTGGTACATATTGTAGAATGTCCATGCAAGGACGTCCTTGGCATGTCCCTATGGGATATGATTTTAAACGTTCCTTTAGGGACATCCATTGAATTCAGAATCACTGAACAACTTCACGGTCATAGGTAGCTGATTGTATAGGGATAAATTCAAACTATTTTTTCGGATTTTTTTTAGTCCATAGCGAGGGGTTTGTAGCAAATGGGCTGATCTAGTGGCATAACCATGAGTATCTATGAAATGGTTCATAACACGGCCCTCCTCTTATGTATTTCAATTAGACTCTCATAGACATATAATGATGACAATGGCATAGCACCAAGTTGTTGAATAAAAGGCTTACAATGATCTCTGGAATCTGCTCCAAAAATAATTCTGATTATCTTTTTCTGTAGCACAAATTCTTTATGGGCATGTGGAGAGTTTCCCCACAAAATAACACCATATAACATATGTGAGTTACACTGAGAAAAATGAGCTGTTCTCAATGTATCAGAGCTGATTATTTGCCTGAGTCGTCTAAAAAGGAAGACATTTCGTGCCAACTAGCTTCGTACTTCTAATATGTGAGTAAACCACGAAAGCTTCTCATCTAGGATTATGCCCAATATTTTCGCAGAATCATTACTAGGAATCAGGATATCGAAAAAAAAAAATGTAAATCTTGAGTCTTGGTTGGATTGAGTTTGAGATGATTTACTGAAAACCAAAATGTAGCAAGCTCTTCAGCGTGTCAAACATATCCAAATCCTTATGGGATTCAATAATGGTGGTGTCATCAGCAAAATGGATAGTTTTAATGGGTAGCATAAAGTTTGGGAAGTCGTTCATGGTGAGAACAATTGAAAGCGGTCCCAGCACAGAGCCTTGAGGCACACCAAGATACAATACTTCTGATTTGGAGTATTCATTGTTGACGAATATTTTTCGTTTCCTGCCGGATAAATAACTAGTGAATAAGGTGTGGGGTAATCCTCTCATTCCAATAAATAGTCAAATTTTTTCTGAAAGCATATTCTTCTGCTTGATGTTGAATCAGCTACAGTTCCCAAAAGCAAGTATTTAGATATGTCAAGAAGTATCAATTAAACTATAATCCACATCCATCTATCCATCCATCCAATAATGAAAAAGTTATGGAGGTGAGCCGCCACCTTGCAAAATCATCCGGTAGTTACATTCATTTCATATTATTTGTCGAGAGAAATACTACTATTATCGTATAATAATTTGTGACTTGTTTGTCCACGCATACATAGTTAGATGATATCTCTTCAGGTGGGAGCGCATATTAAAGCTTAGTCACCTTACAAAAAGAGAGAAACTCAAAGTCATTACCACAATATAGTTCATGAAATAAATGAAAATGGAAGATAACGAGAGAAAAACAACTACTTTCCTGGCTATATGCCACGCAGAACATTGGATTTTACATCCTCCCGTTACCCTAGCTAGATATACAAAGAGTAGGTAAATAATCAACAAAATCATTTTATTTCGTTATTGTAACTATGTATGCGTGGACAAACAAGTCACAAACTATTATACGATAATAGTAGTATTTCTCTCGACAAATAATATGAAATGAAAGAATGCAATCCCAGAGAATATGTTTATTCATGGTTTACGGGGCTACGAGGAAGTGACCTTAATATAGAAAAATCAATAGGTAGGTCGTTAATCATGATTTGCTGGTGTCTTGAAGTGTTATGCGTGCAATCTTTAAATCAGTTAAATACCAGCGAATGATAACTCTGAAATGGATTGATCTGATTGACTGTGATGAATTTAATGTTTATCCAGAATTATTCGACATTGTGTTGAGTTGTCACCTCAGCATTCTTGGTCATCATGAATCACGAAATCTAATTTCATCCGTTGAATAACTGCTTATTTCATAATGTAAATGTTGCATCTCCACAGTCAGTCATAACTCATAATCAGGAAGTTCAGAACCCAGATCATCAATGCATTCAACACATAACTTCATAATCAGATAGCTGTCAGCTGTCAATCAAATGCAGCCTCGCACTTCGAAAGAGCAAGAAAATGTTGTTCACTTGTTGATAACTGTTATTATCCTATTCAAAATCCTTTCGATGAAAGCTGACATTCATCTTTTGGAAATATGACATCCATTCATCTGCTGATCAACACTTTGACTGCTATGTATATCTTCAAATATCCGACAACTTGAAGCTTTGGAAGATATTTCGAAAAATGAGTCGAGGGTCAATAGTGTAGACCTTTATTATATTGAACATAATATGAATTCTGCGAAAACAACTTCACATTATGTGTTTATGATGGTAACACAGACTTATGGTTTATCCCCCCTGTCTCCTTTGGTTTTCTAGCTATATTTCTGGGATTTGGTACATCAAATATGCTGACTAGGAGGCACTTCCTCATTTCAGTAAATTTATTTCATCTTTCGGTTTTTTTATTATTCTCCTATCAGAGAGCCTAGAAGCTTGTCAGTGACAATCTGTTTTTAAAAAGGTTCGGAGAAGAAAAATGAAGGTATATATAAAAAATATCAGATTTACACTCAGCTTTAGTCGTCGCGGTGACGAATCTGCTACCATTTTCAACATAAAAATGATAGGTATTTGTATAGCAAATTCGTATTCGTCTGGACACTTTCTGTCTCTGATAGGAAAATTCATTAACCGCATCAATGACATTTTGGAGCAAGTCATCCGATTTGTCCTTACTACACGTATATTGAGAAGATATACATATTCTTATTCCATGAAAACGAGTAGAGGAATTCTCAAAAAATCTGGAATAATGAATGTACTACCTCCTTGATTAACCTACACACACACACACACACACACACACACACACACACACACACACACACACACACACACACACACACACACACACACACACACACAGTATCTCTAGGGTTATTCCAGCAATTCCATTCTCCCATAATTATATTCACACGTCTATTATATGTACATCTACCTCTCTGAAGCTTCTGGCCCAGGCCAATAAATCGATGATACTTATACAGCGTTTCACAGTCAAGTTAATCGAAGTTACCTATACTTACCCCTGCAAAAAAAACGTATGGGTAGGAAGTTGTAGAGACCTATTCAGAAGACTCTTGTTCTTCAACAGCCAGCAGCCAGCTACATGACTGTTTCATTCGCTTTATCGATGATTTTGCTTCTCAGAATATCCAGTTGGACTAAACATCCATGATCCATCTCTTCTTTAGTATTTTATGACGAATTTGTGCTCTTCGGGTAGTAATGC